TTTGACTTTGTTCTCTGGACTGCCGCTTTGCTCTCTTCCGCCCACTCATAGCACCCCTTCGGGGCCATCAGATCTTGTCTTGTCTCCTCACCGCAGTGTGAAGCCAATTTGATCTGTCGCCGTTTCTAATCAATTGCAACAAGTGCTAGCGAGCACGACCCGGGTTAACAAAAGTACACACACACAGCCACTCACACATCCGAGCATGCTGTATGCATTACGCCACGCCCACGCGTGACACCCTCTAAAGCTACGAGTTATTTAATTCAATCAATGTTTTGCTTCTATATATTTTTGCTTGTGTTTTCACTTTTCAAATGTCACCAGAGCCAACAACAACAACATCAACAACACCAAGGGGGAAATTTGTTTTACCGGCAAATTTAATAAATAAAAAAAAACAATACTAAAAAGTGAATCAGTTGACTGCGAAACAACCTGCAAAAGAGATCAAAACAAGTTGTAATACTAGAAGATACCCTGTACTGATTGTAGCTACTTGGTGGACTGATTGATGGACTGTTGATTGATTGATGATAATTGTTTGTCTGCATGATTGATTCACTGAGTGTTTGATTGACGGAGTGAATCATTTTTTGACGAACTACTGATTGATTGATTGTCAGTTGGACGGATTGACTGATTGAGTGAATGTGTATCTTTTTGACGCATTGCCTGACTGATTGTTTAACTGATCCAATGATTGATTGACTTACTATTTTAATGATAGACTAACAGGTTGATTGACCTATTGGTACACAGATTGATCGAGTGATGGCTGACTGATTGACAGATTGAGTAACTTTTTGAATGACTGACTGATCGACTGCTTCCTTGACTTACACTTTCACTGCTTGGCTGATTGACTAACTAATCGATATCAGTTTGATTGACTGACAATCGGGAGACTTTTTGCACAATACTAGGGTGTTCGAAAATTGATAATCAAGATTATTTATGAACAATTTCAAAGTGCGAAACTGAAACGTTGACATCATAATGACATAATGATTGCTTTCTTCGTAGATGATTTCATCAATCACCCAGCTTCGATTATGGCTTGCTTTCAGTCCATCAGGAAAATCCGTCGAAGAGTCTTCTGAATCATTAGGTGTTTTGGCCTCGCATAGCACCGAGAAAGGTGAAAATACGTAATTCGAGGAATTCGATTCAAGAATTATTTTAAGACATGGATGCTATAGATTATGTAATACAGAGAGAGAGACAGAGAGAGTGAGCGAAAGAGAGAGAGAGGGAAAGAGAAAGATATTTTGAACTCTTTGCATGAGTATAAATAAATCTAATTCAAATGTTTGCTCCGGCTTGACCTTTCCATGCAAATACGGCCATATATAACGCTTTGAAGTGAATGTGAATGGGAATGGGAAATACGAAAAAGCTCTCAGATAACAGTATAACAGAAGATCTAGTTGAGCGACAGAGTTATACATGTGTATTTGTACATATATAAATATATATATCTATATCTATACGTATGTTTGTCTATAGCGATGCAAAAGCTTGCGCTCAACTCCAATTGGCAATTTTTCTGATTAGCATACACAGACACACACAGGTAGGCACACGCATACGGAGGAGAGTTGCTGGCAAAATCATAGTCTAACACATACCAACACACACAGGTACGCACACACGCAAAGGCAGACAGAGACAAAATTGCGCAATTTTGTTTGTACCTCTGACCGCGATCGGTGATCGCTTTATTGGGTGAAGGTCACGTTGCGCTGCTTCGCTGTTTGTTTTTGATTTTCAATTGTATTTGCTCTGTTCTGTTTCATTTGCCTGCATGTTGTTGCTGCTGCTGTTGTTGCTGGAGTTGTTGTTGTCGCTGCCTCGGCTGCTGTTATTCTCGACTCGGCTGACATCATGGAGCCCAGGGATGCCGTTTGCATCCGACATTTGGCTTCGGAACGAATATAGAGGAACTGATATAGATGCAGTCATGTCTAAGTAGAGACCCCATTGGTTACTTCTACAAAACGAATCGCATACAAATGCCAAATTGAGATATACTAGCAAAAGAGTCAAATGCCAATTTATCCATTCTCGCAGAGAGATCCAACCGAGATTAAACAGATTTAAGATCGTATTCTAGATCTAATTCTAATACAGATTCCAATTCAGTTCAGTTTCATAAGATTTCGATTGCTACTCGTGCAAAGATTGAGACACGGTTACGGATACAGATACACTGAACTGAATTCAGATTCAGATTCAGGATTCAAACTGAAAAGAGATACAGATACAGTTCGAGGAACATGACTTTGAGATACATTTTCATCAGTCGATTAGAATACAATTTAAGATGTTTCAGTTTCAATGGGGACTGTGGCTGAGATACATTTTCATATGCACATAAAGATACAGATGCGGACTTATATTGAGCTTTAGTCAGTTATGGATATAGTGACAGTGACTCGATCACGTATTGTCACTGCGACTAGCACAGCACTGAGGCGTTCGTCGCAGTCATTTATTTGATTTAGCTTCACTTTGTTTCGTCTCTTATTTGACTTGTTTTGCCGTCTGGTTTTCATTTTTTTTTTCATTTTATTTCACTTAACTTTTTGTCGCGAATATAATTTTAAAATTCATAAATTTTAACGCCTCTGCCATGAGCGACATTCGGTGCTGTGTGCAGATACTTATGGCTGTCACTGTTAAATATGCATTTGTTCTTAATTTATTGTTTAAATTTGGTTTCCAGTTGGCTAAGTGGATGGCAGCACTGAAGACTTTGTCTAGGTTCCGACCTTGACCATTGGCCAAGTTAGCACACTCACATACACGTTCACACATACACGCACACATGATACTAAAGGCAATGCAAAAGTACAAAATATAATATACGAAATGTTGAAAGCGTTTTGCTTTCAATTGCTTCTTCCATTTTGATTCTATTGAGTTTGAAAATATTGTAAGCCGAAAGAAAAAAATTAATTATAAATTCTAAAATATTATATACATGCATAGGTAGGTTTGTGGCACAGGAATTTCAATATGCAAACTACAAATATTAATTAACAGCTATATGTATATATATATATATATATTATATATATTATATTATACATTATATTTATATATGTAAGTGAAATTGAAACAGAAATTTGTTTCTTCTGCAATTTTTACTAATGAAGAACACGAAATATATAACCCTGCTTTAACAAACCCTTACATATAGCTATAAATAACACATAGAGTATATACATATACACAATTTACCCAAATATATATATATATATAATAGTAACTAACGAATTGTGGGCAGTCTTTTCTGCCAATTATCTGGAAACACATAAAAACATGTAAATATATATAAATATATATTTATATGGCATATACATAGATATTTATATATATATAGATATATATATAGATATATATATAGATATATATATACATATATATATATATATATATATATATATATATATATATTACATATGTATTGGAATTGTTGCCGGATTCGCAGTGCTGTCTTTCGAGGAGCTTAATGCACAATTCCAAGATAAGAGAAGAGCAGAAAAGTTAATTAAATAAAAGAAAAAGAAACAACCAAACACAAACAAATGTATTTTATATTTGACTAATTCGGATATTCGGGAAGGTGGCAAAAGTGTCCATAAATGGAAGTACACACTCCTCGAGACTCGCTTTAGCATATTCAGCTGAATTTTTCAATTACCAAAGCTTGGTATCGACTTCGACACTGTCAAAATGAAGGCATATTGGGGAGCACAAAGTATCAGGTCTTGGTTCGGAAAAGGGCCTACATAAGGGGAATAACTCGTCAAACCACAAACTCAATGAGGGTCCAGTCTTGGCTACTGGCCCATCCTGAAACGCCGAGCTAACAGTTTTGGTTAACTATTCGTATCGAGAGTTACTTCCCAGTTAGAAACTTCATGGAGTTCGTTAGGTACAAGCGTCAAGCGTCAAGCGTTCTCTTCCTTCTCCTTTCCCAGTTGTCGCTGTCATCATCTCTCACCTCCACCGTCCTGCCTATCTCCAGTAGTTGCTGTCTCTGCAGAGTTTCCAAAACACGAGAAAAGTCCAGTGACGTCGAGGCTTTGCAGATTTTCATAGAAGGATATTCGCAAAAACTGCATTGCTTCCGATGCGAAGACGCATGTCACCAGACAAACGGACTGACTGCCCAACAGACTGTCGGACGGACGGAGGAACAGACGGACAGCTATTAAACTTGCAACTTATTTGCAATCGAACGTAATCATTGCTGGATTAACTGATCTAAGGGAGCTAAAACTAGCTAAAGGTAGTTATGTTTTTATTCTTCATATATTCAGATCCTTCTTAATCCATAGCTCAGCCCATACATAGTTATGTCTGGAAATGTTTTTCGTCACATAAATCTGCAGAGGTGGGCAACGGTAACTCAATCATCGAGCTTTATATATAGATGTTTCGTAATTGCAAATAGAAACTATTTCCAAATAGAGCTACAAACTATACAAACTATACAAACTCTACACACTAATCCATAGCTCAGCCTATACAAATAATATAACCGTACGGTTGACCCATTCCAATCGAAAGATATATTTTATTATCAGGCATTTAACAGTTGCTATATCTGGGGCAAGTACTATGCCGTCGGTTGGGCTCTTAATTGTTATCAATCAAATGATAGAGCCAAATCTATTGAAATTATCTTTGCAAAATTGCTTATCTCAGCTGAAACGGCAGCAGGAGGAGCGTGCTCAGTGCGGCAGAGTCGGAAGAGCCACAGTTGAAGAGCCAGCTGTAACCTTTGGTTGCAACGTCCTCGACTGCCCCGCATTGTGAGGCTATCTGCGACTGTCACATAACTGGCCCAGCGGCTTTTTCGCTTCTCGTTTGTAACCCTCTTGTTAAGCGTTCAGGCTGTGTTTCAATTTTTCCGTTTCTTGTTTTTTGTTTATTATTTTGTTTTCATTTTTAATTGAGTATAGATTTCGGTGCTTGCAGCTTGCAGCTTGAGCTGAACAGGTGCAATTCCTCAAATCGCCAACGACCAAAGGCAAAGCGTCAAAGGCACTCAACGACTTCTGTATGCACTGCAAATTGAAATGAAAGAGCTGACTTTGCAATAAGATAGAATACATACACATATATATATATATATCTACAGATGGTTTATGAGTATCTTTAGAGTTCATCTGTAACAAGAATTCGCAGTTCGCCTTTCGAGTCGTCTATTCATTGAGATCGTTTATCAAGTGTAATAATTGTAAGAGTTTAGCTGTTCCTTTCAAGTCGTTGGTGGAGTAACTCGATAAATGCTTCATGAATGATACGAATATCTACTGAATAGCTGAATAGAATAGAATAGATACTGAATAGAATGGAACTTTGGGCATAGATGGCGACTTATGGGAAAGGTATCCCTCGACGATCTGAACTGAATCCATTCGCTGATCGCTGAATAAGTTCAGAGTGCCAATGTATTCGGTAGAACTGAGGTACTTCAATTGAGTGAGGGTAGGGCAAAAGTTTGGCTTGGTTCGGTTAGGCTTAGTTTGGCTGTTGCAAGGTGTTTGCTAGGCACCGGCCCCGGCTGTATCTATACTTAAAACTGAAGCTGTACCTGCCGCCACATGGGTCCGCACGATGCCAGCTCGTCAGTCACTCAGTCAGTGAGTCAGTCAGTCACTCAGTCAGCCAATGTGCGTGCGGCCTAATTGAGCTTAATGCAGCAGGCAGGCAGCCAGCCAGGCAGCAGGCAGCCATCTAGCTATAAGGCAGTCAGTTGAGGCCGGTGTGTGGGGAGGAAAGCCAGCTTTTGATACAATTAGGCAGGGCTCCACCTTTTTAATGATAGCCATTCGATTTAATGAGACCCAAAGGGTGCTACAGCTTGTACTGAATTGTTACACTTGGCATCCGAGTTGAGTTGTCTTCAATCTGCCATTGCGAAAAAATAGTGTGTTATCCACTCCGGATCTATTACACTTAGGGTGTCCACCAAATTGTACTTGATCGCGTTCTCGAAGACCGTCTTGATGCAGTTGACCAGAGCCAGGGTGCAGAACAGTCGCAACATTGGATAAACCGAACTCAAATGCAGTGTCAATCGACCTGTTAGCACATCGATCACCCAAAACAAAAAGTCCATTCCCAGCATCAAAGTATTCAATATTAGCCATGGCATTATAAAGTTTGGCTTAGTCTAAGTGGGAATTCAGCACGAATTAGTAAATGAATTGGAATTGCTATGAAAATGTGAAATGATAGAAGTTCCATCTCAGTTATTAAATGCTTTATGTGAGATCTTAGAGCAAAGTGTGCTCCTTAGGGCTTTAAAGGGAACTCAACTAATTATATGTGAAAATAAAAATAAATAAAATAATATAAATAAATTGTTCATATTTATATTTCACATATGTATTCAATATTAATTTGTATACCCTGAATAGCTGAATAGGTATGCAACAAGAGCAGAGAAGGAGCAGTCAGTCCGTTCGTGGGAACGCAGCGATCTATCTGTATACAAAACTCAGTTCGATGTTTTCATTTTTTATTCGATAACTTAGCATTTGCTGCTTTGGGAATATATGTTCTGAATATATATATATATATATATATATATATATATATATATATATATATATATATATATATATATATATATATATATATATATATATATATATATATATATATATTAACATGTATGTATAAAAAAAGCGTAGAAGGACTGGAAGGCAGCTATGCGAATGCTAAGGGTGTTTACACTGGAGAGACATCGAAAGGGAAAATATATGGTTACTGAAGGTGCTAATTTAAGCTTAATACGAATGATATCTTATAAATGCATAATGGATGCACATTTCCAAGAGTTTTTGAACAATGTTTTAGAAAATCTTAAAAAAGAGTTTCGAATATATAGTCAAATCTTATTTAGAACCAACAACCAATAAATCCAGGAGAACCAAGCCATACGGCTGCATACATTTTTATGCTCATTCAGTAATCTCAAAGCGTATATATATATCGGTTAATATTCATATGGTCTAAAGTCTTGACTTGTCTGTATCAAGAGCTGACTAACTATTATTTGCGCTAGTGTAGATGGCTCCCAATTAAAAATCTCAGATATATATATGTTAGCACCCAATAGGGGCGTGGAAATTGAGGATAAATTCAACATCTTCCACGTTTATCGGACCTTTCACACAGATAGACCTATGATGCCGTCCCTTGGGGCGAAAATATTGACTTTTGAGCGAATGTATCTGCTTTCAGTCAGTTGCTCTCGACTGCAATCCGCTGAGCTGTTTACGACTGAGTTCAACGGAAATAGCAACTCAGACAACATGGACTTAAGCTAGCTATCTTCCAGATTCGCTGTCAGATATATGGACAGTGTATGGCACTCACATTGACCAGCGCATAGATCATTAGCAACCAGACATAGCTCATGATGACCGCGCCCACCAGCCGACTCCTGCGCAGCGTCTCCATATCGAATACGAAGAACTTGCGAGGTCGCCACATCTCGAGCGGCTGGCTGGATATGCAATAGATGCGAATGCATTCGCCGAGGCTGCCATAAGCGCCCATCAGGCTGATGATCAGCACCAGCCAGAAGATGTAGGGGAAGAACTCGTAGCGGCAGGGTGTACAGCCGCCGATGAACTCCCACAGTTGTTGCCAGCGTGTGATCGGGCAGAAGTTCCATATGGAGAAGGAGCGACACTTGCTTTCGCTCGCGCGAAACTCAAATTTTCGCACTTTGAACATTTTCCACTCAGCTGCATATACTATATATGTGTGCACATGCGTATGTATACATATGTAGATATGCATACAACTCGTTGATCCGTCCACAAATACAAAGTCCAAGCAATTTGTTATTAATTCGCAATTTTCCACGTACTTAAAATTTGAACCGAATGTTGCAGTCAAATAATAAAATATAAATATCTATAAAATGTGACATTCGTAAAAAACACATACAAAATAACAAAAATACGGCTCATTTTTTTTCTTCTCAGAAAATGTTGCTTCGTTTTTGGTGCTCGGGAAAGCCAAGCCTTGGATTTGGAAGATTAGCTACGAAATATAAAATAGCACCACCGACAGTCGGACAATTAGTTCAAACTCAGGCAAGTATTTCTTTTGAAATAAATCACCTTTCAGCAGCTAGTAATGAAAGGAAATTACATATTTTTCTATATATTTAAAAGGGTTCAGAAAATCCTTAAAAAATGAGTGGAAAACAAAAATAGCACCAAATTTTAAATATCTTCAAAAAATTAAGCGAAATTATATATAATTAAATATTTGCTCCATACATATTAATAATAACTGTTCTTACCAATTATATATAATTAAATATTTGCTCCATACATATTAATAATAACTGTTCTTACCAATTCCTAGCATTGTTTCAGAGGGAATGGGCTTTAAGCCTTTTGGATAACTGAACTGTGAAGTGAACTGATTCTGGCTGATGAAGAAGCAGAAAATATTTTGTTGATATGATATATTTTAATATATATGATATAATTTAATATATTTTAATTGGTATTAGGATAGTCGCAACACTGCAACCTCTTGACAATCAGAGGTATCTTATGATAGGGCTCGCATTTTATATTGTATTTTTTACGTTTTCGTTAGTCATAACATATCGAAATATATTTAAACTGCGTTCAGAATAACATTGAATTGAATAAAATTGAGAAATATAACATTTAGTGCTTAGAATCTTGCATAATTATAGACTCTTTATTTGGGAATTGATAAAGTTTGAAAGTAAATTAAGTTCTTTAATTTGAAGTTAGCTGCATGTTCACTGAATAGCTGAATAGAAATTACGGGGTGTAGTTAGTGTCAGAAGTCGAATTTGAAGATTCTAGTAACATAGTCATCATGCTCTACTCTATTCCCTTCTGGAACAGCCCCTGCATCTGGCAGCAAGGTACACGCAATCGGCATATGAACTTTTTGTCGAAATACATATTAATTAAAACGGGGTTATTCCATTTGGCTCTGATACACTATCATAAGAGCTATCAACCCTAGCTGTTGTTTGGCATACATATGCATATCCATATGGTAATACTTGAATTGTTTTTTTGTTCAATTAAAAAATTGTCGGATTCAATTAAAATCGAGTACGCCCGCATTTTAATAACAACCGGAATCGAGTCGATAACCAACAATAATAAACGGAGGAAGCAGAAAATAATAAACATAAGCACCAAAGGGAGGAGAAGTTGCTTTAAAATGTCGGAAGCGAAAACTCAACGAGCAACTGAGAATGGGCAAAATGTAAGTGCTAAGGGCTGACTCCCCGGAGGGAGTGTAAACAAGACCCATACCTGGAGTGCTTCAGGTGCGGTTAGAGCAGTATATAGGCGGAGGGGTAGGGGCTAATGGCAAAGCAACAGAGAGTGGAGAGGGCAGGGGCATTAAATTAGTCAGCCGCATTGCGATACGTTTGGTAATTTCCCGGCAGTTACAATACAAACAACTTGTGTAATTAACTCTACACACACACACACACACACACACATGTGAGAAAGTAGACTCATTTCGATATATAATAATAATAGTGCAATAGCGATGCTGATTCATAGCAACAGCAACAATAACAAGCGAATATATATGTATGTATGTATATAACATATATGAGTAAGACAGGTGCACAGGCTGTGAGCACAGGTAGGCGCCAGCGAGCTAGGTAGTTAGGTGCCAAATGACATTGAGCAAGATGTCAGAGCTCGTTAAATGCCGGCATATTCTCTAGGCAGACAAAAGTAGTTGAATTTAGCGCTCTTTGTGCATAAGTTTTATGGCCAGCAAGCCTGCAATTGTGCACCCTTTGACAACATATCTACACTGAGCCAAAACTGGTGTAAGGAAGTGCCATTAATTCCATTATTTACTTGCGGCAAAGTAGTGCTAGTAGTAGTTAAGACAACTTACTCCTGCTGTCGATTGATAAGGCAAATGCCTTCAGTTCATATGTTATACACTGAACAGAAAACTCGCCTGTTCTAATTAACTTAAGTGACTAATTACATATACACTAAGCGAAATATTATCTGTAGATTATAGTATTGCATATTAAATTTCTCAGAGGTAAACACTTAACTATATAGACTGAGTCAAATGTTCACTGTGCACAATTGCTTATCTCCTCTGATATTGCATTAAGTTCGACCCTTTTTTTTTGTCTTTCATATGCAGGGCTGATGGTATTTCTGCCAGTGTACGTAGCTGCATTACTATCATAAATCCAAAAGTATTCCGTATTCAGTTTCACGCCACAACGTTGCATTTTTATGGATGCGCTTTTATGGCACTTTCACCTGGCAATTGCCGGTCATAAAAACCCAGAGACGATAAGCCATGCAGCCGAAAAACTGTAAGAGATTCTTGGAAGAAAAGCAATTGCAACTGCAACTGCAACTGCAACTGAAATCTCTGATAAGTGTACCTTAGAAAGTTCAGATAAAATCTCTAGCCCCTACAAAGAGCTACAGGATGCCGGTGCTGAAGTAGGCAGGAAATTTCTATTTTTAGAAATGTTAACGAGCATCATATCAGTATTTATATATATTGAATTAAATATTAAAGCTATGCTTAGTATTATTATAATACAAATTGTGAAATTAAAGTATTACATTCTCATTATTTTTGAGCCCATTCACGGGAGCATCGATATTATGCCTTGACTATGCCTTAAGCTAGTTCTTAGAGATTGTAAAGCTTAGGGTATTCTGTAAAGGTTTTTGTAATAAACACACAGATATAAATATTTGTCTTTCGGCAAATGCGGCCAATTTTATGACACTATTGTGCTTTGAAATTGATATAAAAGACAAGTAATTCAATAATGCAGGCGCATATTGTGTGTTTCAGGGTGTTTACTAGTCGGGCACTCCCCACCAGAGAACTCTAAATGACATTGTTGAGGTAGGTTGGCAAGTGCCTACAGCTTTGCTTGGGCTAGGTCAGAAGTCCGGAATGTGTATTTTGTTGTGTTATCTATCTAGACTGGATTATGGTTTTTTATATTATTATTATTTTGTATATTACATCAGAGTGCTTAAAGTCGAATTATTGGCATGCATCGTACGCTTACATACTATGCCGATCCCATAAAGTAAGATATGTGTATACAAATATATATATTTACATTCCTGAACAAAGTCAATAGCTGAAGTGGGCTGTCTGACCGAGGTAGAGGCTTGAGCAACAGGATATCTCTCAAGCTTTTTTGTTTTTAAATAATGTCGTTGCCATTGAAATCGATAAAAAAAACTTTATCGATCTTTATACATTGGTGCATATTTCGTAGCATGCATTTTACATTCGTCTTTACGCACTATGGGCATTTAGTATATCGAAAATATACACAGATAACGAGGATTTAATTTCCTGGATAGCTCATTGCCGACTAGAGTAGCTTTCTCAGGCTTTTACTTAAAGTTGACTTAGAGTGCTATCGCTACTAAATATCGCTCTGGATTCAACTGTTTGCTTTTTGCCTTCTCATAAGTTGAGTATAGCAAATGGTGTATGGATATAGATAGCTGATACAATAGTGCGCCTAATGATACAAATTAGTCAACAGAAAATTGAAGAAGAGTAAATAGAAATCAGGAGCGGCAAATAAACAACGGTGGAATGCATTGGACAATGTCCCAACTGGAGTCGACTCGGCTCGGGTTTGAGTTTTTTCTGCTGCGATTTGTCACATGAATGGCAAACAGGACGGGTCACAGGTGCTGCTGACAGGTAGAGTCCAAGTACATATGTACATCTGTACATCTACCTACATAGATACATATATCAGGGTCTGTGTCAAAGTGTGTTTCAATTGTGACGAAACATTTGTCAGAGCAGAGCACAGCGCAGCGCAGCGTACGGACAGCATGACAAGTGGAATTTGGCTTCAAAGCATATCCTGTCTCTGCCTCAGGGCATTGAAAAAGCCAGCGCTTGCAACGGCTCGTTTCGAATTGTTTTGCTCGAACATTAATATAAGTCAACTTGGCCAAGTGCAGTGCATGTGGCCAGCAGTTCGTCAACTTCAGCTAGAGACAAAGCCAAACTCAAACAAAAACTCAGCAAACACTGAGTACAAGGCAGCTCTATCTGAATATCAGCTAAATACCTTTTTAGGCCCTTCCATTTATTATTTGTCTGTATAAGTTTAGCATTTCGAAAAAAAAAACACATGACTAGTCTAGTCCTTTCATGGGTTTTTCTTTGAATATTTCATACCTTTTATAAGCTGAACCTTCAACCCGAATTCGCAAATACTGGAGACTTGTGCATTGTCACGCTCTGAAAGTTATTCAACCAAGTTTCCATCGCTCATAGTTCATTTAAAGGAATTTTGTTTAACTGTTTACTGAAGGACTGAATAGCTAAAATCTTTGACTCGATAATTATGGTTTTATTAACATTATTCTTTATCATTTTTCAAGTATCTGGGTCAGAGTAAAGGGTAAAGTTGCACACTTGAATTAGGTCTGCTTCCGGGTAAACATGTTTCTGCGTCTTTAGCAACCGAGCAAATGTATGTAATCATATTCATAGAAGCATAGGTAAGTATACGTTTGCCGAAAAGCGGAACTATTAGCAGAAACAACCTGAAATGTTGAGTAATATCTATGCTTTCTTCTCACACACGTTGAGTGGGGTAGAGAGCAGAGAGAGAGAGAGAGGAAGAGAGCCACCTGAAAGACTGTGGAGATATTTTGAATACGAACATTAAAATTATCTTTTCGGCACCATTGAAGTCCACACTTGGAACTTAGAGCTGGGAGTCAATAGTCTGATGCATAATGATCACATAGATTTATATTTTGGAACTATGCCAAATGTGAAATGAGAAGAAGCTCAATCATCGACGATTTACAGCTGGATCATTTGGCAAATGATTGACTGAGTTGCAGTTTGACATGGGAAGCGTGTCAGGCGAG